CACCTTATTCAACTGACCCATAGACGTTCTTGACTTTTATGTTCGCACAATTTATGGGAGTTTTGTTACTTTGCTGTGAAAACAAATTTAAAACAGACAAACAAATAGATAAATACATAGAGATATAGATATAAGTATCTATATAAGAAAATTCATTAGGTATAGGTGATTAGAGGAGTGACATGAAACATTTATTGCAATGGAAAAAATGTGATTCCAATCCTGTTCGACGAGTACCTTTTCAAATTTAAGAAACCATAAGTCACATAAAAGTTTGTTTGGTTGTTATAGAACAATGTTATATTGTTGCATTGCTTGGAAACGAAGTGAAATTTGGTGAAGTGAAATAAAAAAAAAATTAGAAAAATTATATCCAATTTATAGATTTTTTTTGTAGTTATTAAGATGAAATGAAGTTAAAGTATAAAAATTATATCTGGTTTATAGGTTTAGACTGTATGAGTATTAATAAATAACGGTACGATATCTTTTTTGTTTGATGTTAGCGGTGGTAATTAGAAAGCCAAGAGCCCCACGACAAAACTGGCGAGTATATCGGTCTACCCACCGTGCCATGCTAGGTATTTAGGACCACTCTAACAATAACATCAAGGCTGACACAACAAATATTCAGCGATTGAACCAATTCATAAACTTGTTAAAAAAAAAGTACAGACCTCCTTCGAGCGAAAAGAATACTGTTGAGCAGTGTTTTTGGACGTATATCAAGTATTGATCGCGTATGCCACCAAAGTCACGTTCTATTGCCTTTACACCTTTTAAATTAAGATATGTGTATTTTTATACAGAATATTTTAGATTAAAAAACAATATGCAAAACAATATTGAAAAGTTCATATTGCAAGTTAAACAATTTGTTGCTCATGAGTTGTTATTTAAAAAATGTGACCGCACCTTGTCTATGTAAGAAATAACAGCACCTTGTTTACATAAATTATTGAATTTGTATTAATTGTCACAAATAAAAAATAAGTTAGTCTTAAGATATATTTACGTTATCTAATAAACTTATAAAAACATAATTAATCGTGGACTAATTTCGGCACATAATTCCTACAACATAATAATGTTGTATAGACACAGCTATACAGTCCGTAGACGCAACTGGTTTTTGAAGCACATGACGGAACGGATGTGCTTCCTGGACAACGATTTAGTGTACGGAACTAATAGACTGCATGTGACCTGGCAGGAACGTCATTCTGTGACCTCAGTAGGTAGAAGTGACATTCTACGGAAATGGCTCCTGGGCTAATGGCGGTCCGGTCTCCGTACCATTAAAACACTGACAGGTCTTGGGAAATGCTCTTTTTATCGTCACCGTTAAGTTGGTGATGCTGAAAAAGGTTTTTACCTTTTTCAGGTTCTAAAAATCAATGAAAAATTTTACAAATATGGCGTTCAGTAAACCGCATATATTTTAATAAATGGTAACACTTTAGGAACTCAAAATGTAAAAACGTAAATTCCGGTCTTCCGAATCGTGAAGTGCATGTGTGCAATGCAGCGTACATCTAAATAATATAATATTTATCGTTAACCTAATACTAATTGCATTATAAACATTTAATTTACTTAAATAGTATTTCAAAATAAAAGCAAATCAGTTGAAAAATTACAAAGTTATAATACATAATGTATGATAATTTAGGTTATAAGGAATATCAAATATTGTTTACTTTATTTTCTAAGTTGTGTAATTTGCTATTATTTTTTACATTAGAGGTATTTATACTTTCTCATAAAACATTGAATTTTTTACTTACGTGTACTTTATACAACTTACAATGATACTTACTTCACCATAAAAGCAACTTAATACCATATTTGTAAACAAAACACACATAAAAATGTTTAGACTGTGGAAGAGAGAAAAATCTACTATGGGTCCCAGTGTGTGGTTGACCACACGGCATTTTTCAGGAAAACTACTTTTTTAAAAAAAATTTAATTTTGCAGGCAATATTTTTAACTTAAAATAAGACCTTTCTGAAAATTTCATCATAAAATTCCAAGTTTGAACTTATTTGGTACTTAATGGGTAAATAAAACTTCTCCTAATAAATTTAAAGTTCGAAGTTCATCAAAGATTTGCAGATCTACATTGGCTCCTTGGTAAAAATTCCAGACTGTCAATAGATAACAAACCACTAATTTACAAAACTGTTATTGTTCCGATTTGGAAATGTAGATATTGAAATATGGGGAATCACCTGCAAGACTAATATTAATACTATCGAAAGGCGGCAATCAAAAATTCTGCGAACGATAGACCTGAATATCCGTACTATACGTAAAACAATTCAAAAAAAGCAGTGTTAACCACTTATCTAAACTGCTGCATCACACAAATTTAGAAATGAGAAAGACTCCCTGCATTGGAGCTAGGGTACAAAAAACGTCTAAAACGTACACTTCTAATCTACTTAAATATTAAGTATTAAAGTAAGTTGAATTCTTTACTTCACAAAAAAAAAAAATTCATTTATGTATAATAATTTGTTATTATTGGTGTCACCTTTCATTTTTTTGACTGATCTTTAAACAAAATATCATGTTTCAAGAACTTTCATAATTGCTCTAAAATGTTTATCTTCTAGCAGCACTTTACAATTTGATATTTTAAAGCGCCTTCCATCATCATGCATGCTGCTCTGCTGAGAGACATGTCTCATTTTAGTTCCGGATCTGTGCTCTAATTCATATTCAGTTCTTAAAAAAACTGACCCATCTCTATACTCTTAGCGGCATGTCGTGCTTCTTCATCGTCATAGTAAATGCATTCCGTCACAACTGTTTAAATTTAATGCCCAAATCGTAAGTTCTCCACTTCTTGAATGCTTTTATAATGGCTAGGACTTCTAATTCATACGAATGGAATTTTTGTTGAGCTTGTGTTTTGAGATTCAAAAACTGAACAGGGTGAATTCGATTGTCATTCTGGTCTCTTTGTAAAAGAACAGTATCGTAACCGTACATTGGAGCGTCGGTATTAATTTCTGTAAAAGCACTTGGATCAAACAGTTTTAAAACAGGAGCAGTTATTTAAGTATTCTTCAACTGCTGGAAAGCTAAAAGTTCGTGTTCATAAAATTTAAATGATTTTTTGCTCCAACCAGCTTTAAGTTTGTTGTTCTACTAATTTTTGATCTGCAATTGATATACGTCTTGGCCTTAGGAAAACTTCTACTTCATCCTTTAGTATTAATTTCATTTCAATAGGGATTTTAGTTGATTTTTCAGGTTTATAACTTTTAATAATTTTTACTATCTGCTTGTTATATTCATTCTCTATGCCGGTTAAATCGTACTCACAATTATTGTCAAACAATTCTGAAGCAATTGCAAATATACATTTAAAATCTTCCATATCGTCAACATTCATATTGTGTGACTGTTTTAAATTAGCATTTTGTTCAGGGTTTTCGATTGTTTTACGCTCTTTATTCATTATTCTGTTGCTGTTGCCATTCAAATGATTTTTATTTTTATCTTGTGTATTTATCTTCTGAATTTTTTTATCAATACTCTTATCGTGAGAGTTCTGTGCATGTTTGTTATTACCATAATTCATTGATGAATTTTTCATAGATTTGTAGGCTTTCATTTTGACCTTTAATCTTAAATATACACTGTTTAGTATAAAATAGATTTATTTATCTAGATTAATTGGACTTTCCATTTCTATTAAATTGTACAAGTAACGCCGAAGGGATTCATTCGGCTTCTCAGCCGTTAATTTCAAAAATTCATTCTTTTCCATTTCCATTTTTATTTTAATTTAATTTTTCATTCATTTAATGCCAATTACATGTGTTTCTAAGCGTCTGATTTGCTACATTAATTTTGTCGCTTTGTTTTTTTTATATACCACGACCATGAGCTTCATTTGTTTTTAATTTGTAATTGTTTTTA